CACGCTTTATTCTGAAACAAAAACAATAGCAGGTACTCGTTCTGCCTAACATGCTGCAACTATCCTGCAGGCAATCAAAATACACTCATGCCTTCCCCAGGATTCGGCTCTCAGGACTTCAACATTTGAGATTTTAATCTTTCAGGATTGTGATTTGTGGGGATTTTAGAGTTCAGGGATTTTGATCTTTTGGGATTTCAACATTTAGGGTTATAGCATTTCGGATAATGTCTTTTGGACTTCTGGTTGACATCAGCCCTTTTGCCATTCTATAGGCTTCTTAAAGTATAATAATTGGCTTTTTTTTTGAGTCGGGGTCTCAAGCCCAGGCCGGAGTGCTGTGGAATGTTCACGGCCACCGCACCCTCAACTGCCTGGACTTACATGATCTTTCCGCCTCAGCCTTCCGAGTAGCTGGAACCACAGACGCATGCCACCACGCCCAGCTAACTTTTTGATTTATTGTAGAGACAAGGTCTCACCGTGTTGCCCAGGCTGGTCTTGAACCCTGGACTCAGGCAATTCTCTTGCCTCTGCCTCCCCAATGCTGGGATTACAGGCACGAGCCACTGTGCCCGGCTAAAGCGTAATAATTTTTAAATTGTATTTTCAACTCAGAATAGAGGTTTGGTGGTTTAAAAAAAAACAAGCAGGTTTGAAATGCAAAGGTGCAGGGAAAATAAGTGAGAGGCTGGAGTCCGGGCCTGGGATGTGTCCGTGTTCACGCTGAGATGGCCCTTAGCACAGGTCGGGAGAGAAGGGACGGCCGAACCCAGCACCGGTTGTCTTGCAAACCAAGGACCTGCTCAGAAGCTTACCATGGGGATGCAGATGGTCCGGCCAGAGAGTCTTTTGACTGAGAAACTGCAAGAAAGCAGGGTTCTGAAAAGTCCACCACACCAAAATGGAAGCTTCTTTGCAGAGTGGTTTCAGAATTAAAACTCGACCACCGAAGGTCACAGAAGGAAAACTGTGGAAGCCAAGGGCTATAGGTAGAGTCAGGTCTGTCCAGCGTGAAAGGGGATAGTCAAACTAAACAGGTTAGCCTCAAGAAATAGAAACAGGTCCAATAATAGCACTTCTGATTGCGTGTTTTCCATGAGGTTAGCACTGTTCGATGTCTTCTTGATTACTAACTCATTCAACCCACATCACCCTACCCTATGAATTGGATGTTTTTAGCTAGTTATTCCCTTTTTTTTTTTTTTTTTTGAGTTGGAGTCTCACTCTATCGTCCAGACTGGAGTGCAATGGCCACTCCCGGCCACCGCAGCCTCGACCTGCTGGGCTCTGGCGATCCTTCCGCCTCAGCCTTTCGAGTAGCTGGAACCACAGGTAAGCGCTACCACGCCCAGCTGATTTTTTGATTTATTGTAGAGATGAGGTCTCGCCTGCCCAGGCGGGTCTCGAACCCGTGGACTCAGGCCATCCACTCGCCTCAGCCTCCCAAAGGCGGGGGATTACAGGCTGAGCCACCGAGCCCGGCTTAGTTGTTCCCATTTTAAAGATAAGGAAATCGAGGCTCAGAGAGGTTAAGTAACTTATGCAAGGACACAGAGCTAATAAGTGGCAAAGCTAGAGCTCAAACCCAGTTTATCTGATTCCAGAATTCAGGCACTTAACCGTTGGACTGATGCCATGATTTTAGAGCCCTCAAAAGACCCACTTGAAAAACCGACGTCTACCTAGTTTTCATCCTTAGGTGAAGCCTGAAATGTTAATGCTATTCATCATTTTTACCGATTTATTGATAACGACTATACCTTTATGACATCTGCACTTAAAATGACTATTAATAAAAATAATGTATTAGTAACACTTATCAAGAGAGTAGTTGTTTTCTAAAAAGCACATTATAAAATGGAAAAAGATGCATGGAACTGTATACAGGTGGGGCCAAGTCTCGGATGGGCAGGCCCCAGGGAGTGTCAGCTCACAGCCAGCCAGGGCCGCTACCTCACCATTCACTGAGGACGGCTGACTTCAGAGTGCTTGCTTCTTGATTTCCTTCATGAAATGGTCCAATGGTAAAGTCAAGTTTAAAAAAACAAATGAAAACAGAGCAATGCCTCACCAAGTTTCTAATGAAATGGGAAGACTTTGAAACTTTGCTCTCTTGTTGACAGGTGAATATGGGTTCAGCCAGGGAAAGGGGCTAAATGTTCTTAGTAGGCTAGGTGTAGTGGTTCACATCTGTAATCTCAGCTCTTTGGGAGGCCAGGTGGATCACTTGAGGACAGGAGTTCGAAAACAGCCTGGGAAACAAAGTAAGACCTCATCTCTACAAAAAGAAAAAGAAAAAGAAAAAAGACCAATTATCCGGGCATGGTGGTGTGTGCCGGCAGTCCCAGCCACTTGGAGGGCTGAGGCAGGAGGATCTCTTGAGGCCAGGAGTTCGAGGCTGCTATGAGCCATGATCGTGCCACTACACTCCAGTCTAGGTAACAGAGTAAAACCCTGTCTCAAAAAAAATTTTTTTTTCTCAGTCAACAACTGGAAAGCTATAGGTATTTTACTGATCTTGTGCTTCCAACAGTAAGTACTTTAAGGATCCTCCACTTGTAGAACAACCAGTGCCTGGAAAGAACACACTATTTGAAACACCATTAGTCTTGAAAGAGGCACAGGGTGGACTTCCAGAATTCTCTCTTTATAAAAGAGGAAACTAGGTCCAGAGTGATAAGGAATTAGGGCCTGGTGAGAGCACAGCCAACAGACCTAATAGTCTGGCAGCGCCTCAGGGTGAAGACCAGAACAGCACATCTGGAAACTGAGCCTGGGGCCATACTTCCAGGAGAAATGGGAGAGGGGGATATGGAGCCCAGACTCTCAAGCAGGCTTGAAGTGGTATAGGTTTGGAGCAACCCCTGGCTACCAGCAGAAGCAAAAATGACTTGTCCCTACAGGAGAGTTTCTCTGTTCCCAATTTTAGCCCACAGCGCTAATCATAAGATCAAGCAAAATGCTCACAGTCACAGGTCATCAAACACAGAAGAAAGCAATACACAGTGACAGTCACCCGAAACAACAAACTACATACTTAAATTCTCAAGAATTACAGATATTGGAATTATCAGATACAGAATCTAGAATAGCTATAAAGAAATAAAAGAGTCACAAAGAAGACTAATGAAAGAGTATCAGGAACGAACAGATAAGTTTTTTAAAAACTGTGGAAGTTTTACACTTAAAATATAAAATCATTAAAGTCAAAAACTCTATCATTACCTATCACACTTGATCTAAGCCAAAAGGCTGAGAAGCAATAAACATGAAATCAGATACAACTAAAGAGAGAATTAACAAATGGAAGATACACAGACATGTTTTTACTACATGTGACCACACCGCTGCAACTAAAATCAAGTTTGAAAATTGAAGAGTGCTGATCAAAGCGATTATAAGTCGTCTAAGTTAATTTACATTCAATAAGAATGGTGGTTAAAAAAAGAGGGGGGCAAGTGTGGTGGCTCACACCTGTAATCCCAGCACTTTGGGAGGCTGAGGCAAGAGTATGGCTTGTATCCAGGAGTTTGAGTCCAGTCCAGGCAACACAGTGAGATCTCATTTCCACAAAAAATTTAAAAACTAGCCAGACATGGTAGCTCGTGCCTATAGTTCCAGCTACTCAGGAGACTGAGGCAAGAGGATCACTTGAGCCAAGGAGTCTGAGATTGCAATGAGCTATTGCTCTGTCTGGACAACAGAGTAAGACCTTGTATGAATACATACATACATACATACATACAATTGAGGAGAAGGAACTTATCTTTTTCCACAAGAAAAAAATCGTCCCATGAGTAATTTCCTGAGGCAGTAATTTTAAAACCCCTTCAGTATAGGATAAGGTAGTGGTGCCCATGTAGGGATAGAGCCGAGCTCAGGAAGGATACCCCCAAGACTTCCAACAGTGGCTGCCTCTAGAGAGGAAAGCTACAGCGCTGGAGGCAGGGAAGAAGAGAGGGTGGTTGACGTTCTCTATCTATTCTTTTGCACTTTTTGAATTATTTACTAGTTGCATGTATCAGCTCTTCGTGCCAAGGTATTTTCAAGTCTTTAGAGCATTAAGATAAGACACTAACTACACCTTACTATGAAACTACATGCCTGAGCCCGCAGGTTCGAGACCTGCCTGGGCAACTTGGCGAGACCACATCTCTACATAAAATCAAAATTTAGTTGGGTGTGGTAGCGTACGCCTGTAGTTCCAGCTACTTGGAAGGCTGAGGTGGAAGGATCGCCAGAGCCCAGTAGGTTGAGGCTGTGGTGGCCAGGAGTGGCCACTGCACTCCAGTCTGGGCGACAGAGTGAGACTCCAACTCAAAAAAAAAAAAAAAAAAATAGGAAACTACAACTAAAAAAGATTTCAAGAACAAAAGCCTAATTGTGGGACAATATAACAACCTGGACATCGCCCGTCAGAAATGTCCCTGAATATAGCAAGCACAGTGCTGTAAGAAAAGCTTGTCATTGCCACATAATTATGTGAGGAAGGGATCATGAAAAACTCAGAACATGGTGATGAAGACAGAAACACCGTCCCGCCAGGTATAATGGCACAAGCCTGTCGTCCCAGCTGCTCAGGGGGCTGAGGCAAGAGAATTGCTTGAGCCCAGAAGTTGGAGTCCAGTTTGGGCAACACAGGGAGACCATATCTCTTTAAAAACAAAAGATCTCGGCACTGAACTTCAGATGTCAGCTGACTGCACTTCAGACAAACTTTCAGAAAGCAGTAGGCGGCATCATATTTTGGAGTAGAATGGAACACTAGCATGGCTTTCAAAAACCAAACAAGAGTTTAGCGCTTGCTCCTTATGTTTAAGGCTGGGGTTCCAGGTGTCCCGGGCCCCAGTCAACCCCTCTACTACAGAACCACGTCCCAGGAAAAGCCAGAGCAACCCAGACCTAGGAATTTTGACAGAAGAGTCTGAGGTCTATTTTGATTTGGCTTGTCAAGAGACACCATCGACCAACACTTCTACTTATCTATGGTTTCTTACCCCAAAAAACAGGAAAGAAGAAACTGTATGATAAATAGAACATTCTTCCATTGGTTGAATTCAGTAGCCTATTATTAAAACAAAAACAAAAACTAATGATTAGATTAATGATATTACAGTTTAGCCCTATTGGTTTTACCAAACTATGTGTTCTGATAAGGGAACCACCTTCCTGAATAGAAAACATAATTTAAAAATGCTTCCCAAACAGAAAACGCAAATTTAAAAATCTTAGGGAATACCCATTGTGTGACAGTGAGCAACTTATTTTCTTTCTTTCTTGAGAGACAGAATCTCCCTCTGTCTCACCACATCCTTGCCTGGACTCAGGAGATCCTTCCACATCAGCCTCCCCAGAAACTGAGACCGCACACACACACCACCATGCCCAGTTATTTTTTTTTTTCTTTTTTGCAGAGATGAGGTCTTGCTGTGTTGCCCCGGCTGATCTCAAACTCCTGGGCTCAAGGAGTCCTCCCCCCGCGGCCTCCCAAAATGCTAGAACTACAGGCATGAGCCACCAAGCTGGGCCGGCAACTTACTTGTCCTTTCCTGTACCTCGTGTTCATTTCTACAACGGAGATTTTTAAAAAAAAAAAAAAAAGATTCCTCAAAAGTTTGATGGGAGGATCTGATTAAATTGTCTAGAACCTTCTGGCGGTAGCAAGGACAAAATGATAGTTATTGTTTCTGAAGTTACCACTTACTTTACAAATCTTTACTGTTCTGCAGTCCCAACTTCAAAGTTGGGCTTACTTTGTATAAATAATCCTAGAAGAAAGTTTATTCCTAATTAATAATGTTTGCAAGAAAAGTTTAAGTTCATAAACCATTTTCAAGAACTTGCCCGTGCGTAGGAAGGATTGTAAAGGAATGAACTATTATTTGCTCTTTACAAAGCCATCGAGTAATCGGGCTAGAGGAGGCGGTAGACAGGAGAATTGTAAGACTCAGTTCCTGTGCTCCAGGAACCTAAACCCTAGCTGAGAAAATAGTTAACCTTCTTGAGACAACAGGTAACAATACTACCCATGACGTGTCCCTTCCCTGTATCCAAGAATAATTTGGGGGAGACGCAAGACTGTACATCAGTGTGTGCTTGGTCCCTGGGGTTTATCATAATATTCTCTCTTTTTCTATATATGTTTAAAAGTTTCCATGTATCATAAAACTTTTTTTTTAGTACTCACTTTGAAAGAAAAAACATAATAAATATAAATCTGTCTTACCAGCAAGCCCCAAGCCCCATCAAGGAGGCAGAAAATATCCAAGAGAATTAAAGCCAACAAGGTTATGCTAAGGCAGTCAAAGACCAAAACAAAACAAAACTACAAAAATTATGGAAAACATTTAGTGTCTGAAATGAAAATAAAATTGGAAGGGCCAGGCATGGTGGTTTATGCCTATAATCTTGGCACTTTGGGAGGCCGAGGTGGGAGGATTGCTTGAGCCCAGGAATTTGAGACCAGACTAGGCAACTTAGTGAGACGTCACCTTTACAAAAAAATGTTAAAAGTAGCTGGGCGTGTTGGTGGCATGTGCCTGTAGTTCCAGCTACTCAGGAGGCTGAGTTAGAAGGATTGCCTGAGCCTAGGAGGTTGCGGTTGTGGTGAATTGTGCCACTGCACTCCAGCCTGGGCAACAGTGTGAGAACTTGACTCAAAATAAATAAATAAATTTTTAATTAATTAATTAAAATAAAATTGAAAGTAAGAGAAATACTTTCCTGATTACTCAATGAGTCTCCTGACTCAAAACAATTAGAGTAAAATTTAAATTAATTAAAATAAAATTGGAAGTAAGAGAAAAACACATAAGTCTCAAATTTTACTCAAACCAAGAGTAGGAAAGTATTTATTTTTCTCAAAGAGTTGGAAGTATTTATGTTTAAACTTATATGCTTTGCTCCTGATACCACTTAAACAACTGAGGACTATTTAGCAATTTTCTTAAAAATATTTAGATTCTTCATCAACCTAAAATTTTTTTATATTTTAGATTTACTTTGTTTCTTTAATAATGAGGCTATACTTGTGGCATTTTAAAAAATAATGCAACATGGCATTTATTTTAACACAGGAAATAATTACAGACGAATTACAATAAAACTCTTCTTCCCTTAGGCTTTCTATTGTGGCAAAAGTATGCTGGAGGAGGAAACTTTTTTCATTTTGCACTTTGGGTTTTTTAATCAGAAAAAAAAAGTCCTATTATTACACGAGATGGACTCTGAGCCTCTTGCAATGATTCAAATACCAAAGTTCACTCACTGAGTATTTTCCAAGGGCCTAATTCCTTAACAAGAGTTGCTGCCATCTCTGACTTTGCTAATCAGAGCTGGAATCAAGGTTCTGTTAATAGATCCATTGACTGTGTAAATCCAAAGTCTGGGACTGAATTCCCAGAGCAGTGAGTCACACACACAAGTTTACCACGGCCTCTCATTCTCTCCATCTCTCCTGGTCCCAGTCAGCTAGGACAAATGAGTCATCACATTTCTCCTTCCTTAACAAGAGGAGTTAACATTTTGCTCTAATTCATTACCAAACTTGGCAAATTATAGGCAATTTTATATTGTAGATGAAAACACCTCATTTTTTAAAATCACTTCTTTATTCTGTTCAGTTCACAATTTAAAACGGATTCAGCCAGGGTGACCAACAGGAAGAAGTTTGTCCCAGTTCAATGAATACAGAACAATGTGAGTAGTGAAAAATCTCACCATGTTTTTCTGCAGGGTTGCTGGTCAGTTTTTTTGCTTTTTGTTAGTGTGTTTGTTTTTGCTGATTACAGCGTGTATACCATATCTTTTGGTATACAATAAGTTTAAATCAAAATGCAGTCAAATCTTTAACTTTATGACTTTTGCATTTTGGCATTTTATAAAGGGCCCTTTCTTATGGTTATAACTATATTCTATTTTTCCTAATTATAATTTTCTTATGGCTTTTTGAAAATAAATTTATCTATTTAGCTCTTTGGTCCATTGAGGATTTCAATGATTAAGAGTCATCCTGGGGCTGTAAGGTACTTAAAGAAACTTCTGCCTGAAATATCTGAATCTGGCTAAAAGGAAGAGATTAGACAGGATAAATTTTTGGAATACTCCAGTACCACAAGGAAGATATCCTTCCAGAACATCAGGATTTAATGAATTTAAGTATACGTTAGACCTCTTGTACTTTATAAGATATAAGGGGTAGGTTATGGTTTTTCACATGTGAAGAAAAAAAATACACAAACGCATTTCATATACAAATAAAATAATTTAGATTATAGCGGGGGCTGTGTTTCTAGAGCTAGAAAATCTGGGTCTGTCACCTACTGTTCTTGGGAAGTCAGTTAAACACGATGCCCTAGATTCCTTGCCTATAAAAAGGGGTTAATAACATGACCTTCTTTTCTGAGGGCTGTTATGGAAATGTAATGAGATAATTCATGAACAATGCTTCAAAAAAACATATGATATAGTAAGCCCTCAATAAATTTGAGCTATTATTAATACTATTAGCGGAGAAATTAACAAATCTGTTGTTTCTAAGTTTGCTCTCCTCACGTGACTGCTGGCACGGTGGCTTCAATAGATTTTCTTCATGCCTTGACTCCTGGGAAGAAGGAAGCTGCCTGTGAGGCTGATAAACATATTTTCTCTCCAACAATGATCTCCTTGATGACATCCAGAAGTTTGATTGGCCTAGGGGCATGAGAGCTCTCACCTCCAGGGACCTCACCTCCCATACACCTTCCTCCTAAACTACCTCTACAATTGCAAACTTCCCAGCGTTCAGTAGTTGATGGTTGAGGAACTCGCTGTACATACGGTCTCTAATGTAAAACCTAAGAATGGTGTTTGAGACATTTTTCAGACTTTAGACTCTGATGGACTCATGACCTCACCCAGACCCAGGACTCATTCCAAGGAGCAGACTCCACTGCCCCTGTTAACCCTCCCAGAAACTGGCTCTGACCATGAAGACAGTTTTGACACCCCCATGACTTCCACCCCAACCAATCAACAGAGCCTGCTCCCTAGCCCCCTGCCCGCCAAATGACTCCTTGACAAATTCTAGTCTGAAATTCCCAGGGAGGCAGACTTGAGAAATATCTACTGTCCTTCTTGCTTGGCTGCTTTGCAATTTTTAAAACTCTTTCTCTGCTGCAACACTCCTGGCTTAGTAAATTGGTTCTTCTCTGTGCAGTGGGCATAAGACCCCAGCAGAGCTGTAACAGGTCTGTGGGGAGAAGCCCTGCTTAACCAGGACTCTGCCCAGCATACCTCATTTCTCACATGAACTTAAACATTTTCCTTAGGCTACAAGCAAAATTCTTAGAGGCTGTGTGGCTGGTGGCTTTCTGCAGAAGTCCGGACTTTCACCCCTCAAGGTGGCCATCGTGGATGCTCGTGTGGTCAATATTCACACCCCCTAAGAGCCTGGGCCTCACCGCTCCTGCTAAACCTAGTATCTTACAACTAACTTACCACTTGATTTGTCCTCTCACAAGTAGCAGATAAGGTCACCAAGGCAAATTCCAAAGGAACAATACCTTCTCAAAACTCAAATGTGGATCCCTGAATATTTCATAGCAAAATGCATGATGCCAGGGATTCATTTTAATGTACTCCAGGAGGGGAAAGATGGGAGTGGAGGACGATAGATAGAATAAGATTGGCAAATTGCTGACGTGTTGAAACTGGGTGGTAAGTACATGACAATTCATCAAATTATTCTCTCTACTTCATGTATGGTTCCAAAATCCATAACTGAAAATAACAAGTAAATAAATAAACCGACTTTGTGCATGGTTCCGAAGTCCATAATTAAAAATAACAAGTAAATAAACAACCCCAGCTGGGCACAGAGGCTCAAGCCTGTCATCCCAGCACTTTAGGAGGCTGAGGTGGGAGGATTGCTTGAGCCCAGTTGTTCAAGACCGGCCTGGGCAACATAGCAAGACCTCGTCTCTGCAAAAAAATAAAAACAGATGAGCAGGGTGTAGTAGCGCACACCTGTAGTCCTAGCTACTTGGGAGGCTGAAGCGGGAAGATTGCCTGAGCCTAGGAGGCGGAGGCTACAGGGAGCCATGATTGCATGACTGTGCCTCTGCACTCCGGTCTGGGCAACAGAGACCCTGACTCAAAGCAAAAAAATAAATAAACCCATTTTTTCCCTAACAATCAGAATCCCCTTCTGCAATAAGTAGAGTTCCCAGGGTCCCCACATCAGCCAAGGGGGCCAAGGGGACACAAACTCAGATCTTCATTGTTGCCATTTTCCAAAAAGTCTCAAGTCCAATGTTCTTGGCGCCCCTTCCTGCTGCTTCCCACCCATGTGGCCAGGAATGCATGCCAAGGCAAAGACAGAGCCAGCGGCGTCACTAGGGACATCAAACGTCTTGCTTTCACGGTCCCTCCCGGGAATCCTAGCTACCTTCACGCCTTCTATTTCAAATGTTAGCATTTTAAAAGATGGCTAAGTAAGACAGAGAGGATCATCACCCGCTCACCTGCTGCAGGTCCCCAGTGGAGACACTGATGATAAAAGTTGGGACAATCATGAAGCAAGCGTTATAGAAAAGCACGCCGTATTTCCCCAGCTCCTGCAAAAACAAGGAAAACTCCACTCAGTTTTAGACACACGAAGCTTTCTCAGATTTCCTGGAGCCATTTGTACAACTACATACTTATGCAGCGTTAGAGTATACATGCTGGCCCACTTTGTATAGGAATATTTTTAGCACATTTCTGATGTAAAATGCCTCGTTTCAAGTGTACTGTGGTTTCAGAATAAACATTTGTCTTACACCAAAACTATAGATAGGACAGATGGAGTTGTAGAAGGCCTCCAAGGATCCATCCATCTCTAACACTTTAATTGTGTGGGTTTTTTTTTAAACCATGTTATGCAAAATGGGAAGTCTGGAACAAAATAAAGAACACTGAAAATGTTAATATAAACAGAACTCCTTAAAAACATCTGCTCTTTCCAGTAAAGAACAGCAGCGTTATATATTTACTGTCATGAAAGTGGCTGTACTCCCTCTCCACCATTCTCTGAAAAGGATGACATATTGTGATTCTCCAAAGGCGACAAACCTGTTTTTGCAAAACCACCACCATTAAACACATACACACACACACACACACACACACACACACACACACACACACACACACACACGGCCATGCAGAAAAAAAAAGTGCAGATTTAAAAAAAAAAAAGAATGCCATGGAAATAAGCCTGTCCCATCACAAAGAGCTTGGAACAAAGAAGCATATGCGTGGCTCATCCTTCCCAGCTTCCTGTAACAGCTGGGGTTGGGTGAGGGTTGGGGACCTGGATGTGACAGGCAGCCACACAGAAGGAAAGCTTGTGGGCCCTAGCCCCTCATCACAGAAGAGGCGGTGATGGCTGGAACGGACCTTACCAACTCTCCATTCTGATCACCGTATTCCACAGACGAGGAAACTGAGGTTTGGAGAAGGCATGGCTCAAAGTCACAATGGCGAGTAAGTAGCAAAACTCTTGTGTCTGTCACCCATGTCTCCAGACTCCCAAACTAGTGCTCTCAGAACAAACATCACGACCCCTGACTTTGCCTTGATCACTAATGATGCTGGTAAAAAACACACACACACACACACACGCACACACACACACACACACACACACACACACTTTGTCTTTCAAAATAATCCCCTTTTCAGATATTTTGAGTGTGTGTCTACAATAGTGGCATCTTTTCCCTTCCTATCTAATTTTCATCCAAAATTTTACAGAGAGTAATAAGAACATACACAGACAAGATAATTGAAAAGAAATTAGTAATCTGTAGGTTCTATTATATAAATTCAGTTGCATGCCAACTGTACGAATTCATTTTTGCTTTTCATGTCATTTCAGGGGCTGTGTGACCAAGTCTAAAAGCCACAGGAGGGACGATCTGGTACCTTTGGGTCCATTTTCTGTTTGGTATAAACTCCATTTGCTGCCGTGAAGATATCGTTCAGGAATACAAAGATGTAGCCTTCCAAGTTAAAAGCAAGATCAGACCTGGTAGGAAGGGCACAAAGGGAGAATGATTAATTCATTCTTGCGGCTTGGTCTCACGACCTGGCCTCAGAGCTGCCTGTTGTACCTTTCCCTGGGCAAATCTGCTTTTCTAGGACATCTTTTCCCCCTTTGTGGTGGTAAAGGGTTAATTCCCCTGCAGACTAAATGGAAACCAGCCTATCAGGCCGCTTCAACTCAATCACAGAAGGCTTTACACCAGAGGGACATGAACCAACTTCCTTCAACTATAAATCCTTTCTTCAACTAACTGATAAATCAGCAGAATAATTGGTGAGCCCTGACTTTCCTAAAGGGAGTGACTGTCCCACGCACCCAGGGGCTTTGCTTATTGCAGTAGCAAAGCCATCTCCAGGGTGCAGCCAGGGAGGGACGGCCGGGCAAGAGGGGTCCAGTGAGGAAGTGATACCTCCATATGGTGCTCAAACAGGATTAAAAAAAAAACAGGCAAGCAGGTATCCATCCTGCTGTGCAACCTTCCCATGCTTTTAAAACATTGTCTCTTCAATTTCCATTTTAAATAGCGCCAGTATAAAAATGTTGGGGACAGCCAGGCACAGTGGCTCATGCCTATAATCCCAGCATTTTGGGAGGCTAAGGTAGGAGGACTGTTTGAGCCCAGGAGTTCAAGACCAGCCTGGGCAGCTTAGCGAGACCACCTATCGACATAAAAATCAATAAATTAGCCAGGTGTAGTGGCACGTTACTGTAGTCCCAGCTACTGGAGGCTGAAGTGGAAGGATCACCTGAGCCCAGGAGTTTAATGCCGTGGTGAGCCCGCAGTCGAGCCATAGCACTTCAGCCTGGATGACAAAGTGAGACCTCCCCAACTCAAAAAAATAAAAATAAAAATGTTGGGGAGCTATGACATAGCGGCAAGAGGGACCCCAAATAGCTGAGCCATCATGCCATTTGCCCACTTGCACCTGATCTTTGCAGACAGTATATGTCATCATTCATGAGCATAAATTGCTAGGAAGTAAAAGCTTTCCCCCTACCCTCTTGCGTTCTGTCCCCGGGGGCCTGCAAATTTAACTGACAACAGACCAGATTAACAGGAGAAAAGGAATGCAAATCTTATTAATATTGTATGTGCACCAGCATTCAAAGAAAAGTGAAACTCAAAGAAGCAGGTTTAGGGACTTCCATTTCACCAGGAGAAAGAGGGCTTGGGCTTTGAGGGACAAATAAACTGTGTGTGGGAAACAGATGGGGGGAATAATGGAAGAGAAGAGTTATTTTAGAGTTTTCATCTGTAGACTCATCTTGGGCTGACTCTCCATCTCCAGTGATAAGAGCTGCTCTTTACTTCCTGGTGTGGGAGAAGAGGCTGCCTTCACAATGGGAAATGTATGCCCTGTGTTTTAAGCAGTGGGGACTAACCTGCCCTTTTTTCTCTTTTCCAAATTTCTAACTAGGAGGCTTGGGGAGTCATGCCTGATAAGGACCCACCAGACAGGGTTTTATTCCCCTATTACCCTATATATTAAAAAGTCTGTTCTCCAACCTGACTCTGGCATGCTATCACATAACAAATAAAGAAGGAAACCAAATTATTTTCTAGCCCTGCAAAGTCATCTCTTGGGGACTCCTAGACTCCTAGAACCTTGTAAGACACTTACCTCTCCTCTCTGAAGTCTGTCACCTATGGGACTTCATCTACAAATCAACAAACCTGGAGTTTTTCACTCCTTTATCTCAACAAAGCATCTCCTCTACTGATTTCCAAAATTCCTCAGAGAGGAACTACAAATTCCCAGTCACGAAATCTTTGAATCCACCTACGACCTGCAAGACCCCATTGGGAAATGTCCCTCCTTCCTGGGCCAAACCAATGACAATCCCACATGTACTGATTTATGATTTCTTGTAACTTCTGCCTTTCCAGAATGTATGTAACCAAGCCACCATTCAACTACGGTGGGCACACGTTCTCAGGACCTCCTGAGAATGGGTGTTCTAGAGCCTAGGTCCTCAAGTTTGGTTCAGAATCAACCATCTTAAATATTTTACAGTGGCATCTTTTTTATCAACTCACAGAAAGGGAAAGGCTGCACACTCTTCCTGCATCTGTTCCCAATTGCCCTTAGCTCAAAATAATCCTTATCCCAAAGTGGCATACTTTGGGGTAGCATACCCTGAATTCTCTTCAGTATCAAAATAAGATGATCTCTAACCAAAGAGAATGAAATCAAGAGGCAAAAATTTCATTGAAATCTGAATGCAAATTAGATCAGATTTTTGCTCGAGGTTTCTGCTGGTATTATCCTCTACAAATACATTTGTGAGAATGTAAAATAATTTTAGGTCATCACAAACCAGAATTATTTGGCTCAATCACAAAAAGAAACAGTGCTTTTTTCTCAAAGTAATAGTCTTCCAAATCTCTTGTCCACTCACATTTGATTCAGTGTCAAGAACAATGAAGTCTGCCGTTCCCTAAGACGGCAAAAGGGTGAATGGGTAGAAAAAGTCAGGCTCTTAGGGGCTTCTAGAAGATGCTGCTCATCTCCTTTGAGAGCCTGAAGGACATTCCCAGAACTCTTAGTCTCCCCTGTGGGGGACCCAATTTTGCTCACACTTCTGCAGTCCTAGCTGCAGTTGTGGAGCTCACCCATCCTTCCTTTAGGCCAGTCATGAGAGCACAGAGGTTGGTGAAGAATGTACTTGTTTAATCAATTAGAGCAGATTCATGGTCAGGGCCATTCTCAGACATTCTATTTCAACTTTTTCTGGCCAGGTGACTTGCTTTGGAAGATCGCTTCAAGCCAGGAGTTCAAGACCAGCCTGGATAATATAGCAAGACCCTGTCTCTACAAAAAAGAAAAGGAAAAAAAAGTGTCCCTGATTATTCAGCTAGCAAGTGCAGGGAAAAAAGGAAGACCCCAGGTGCCCCTGCAGCACCTTCCACAGAGCCCTTTCCTTTTGAAGTGACTTTCCTCACATGATTTCATTCCAACAAAAGTCCTCATGACTGAAACGAACCCTGAGTATGTCCATGTTGTCACTGTGCCAGAGGCAGGAAACAGGAAACTAGCAACATAGCCCACACTCTTATTTAATTTGCAATTAATGACCCAGAACCCTCGAATCTAAATGAGTTAACAAGACAAGTTTCACTAAGTTCCTCCAACCTTTTCTTTCTTTCCTTCATTCAAGTAGTTGTAAGAGCCAAGGCACAATTCCCCACATGCCTTTACTTTTTTTTTTTTTTGAGTTGGAGTCTCACTCTGTCACCCAGGCTGGAGAGTGCAGTAGCATGCTCACGGCCACCGCAACCTCAACCTGCTGGACTCAGGCAATCCTTCCGTCTCAGCCTTCCAAGTGGCTGGAACTACAGGTGTGCACCCCCACACCCAACTAATTTTTCTTGATTTATTGTAGAGATGAGGGCTCACCAAACTGCCCAGGCTGGTCTCAAACTCCTGGGCTCAAGCCATCCTCTCACCTCAGCCTTCCAAAGTGCTGGGATTATGGGCGTGAGCCACTGCACCTGGCCCATTTTTTCTTTCTTTTTTTTTTTAAGAGACCTGTTGCCTAGGTGGGAGTACAGTAGAGAGATCACAGGTCACTGCAGCCTCTAACTCCTGGTCTCAGGTGATCCTCCCACCTCAGCCCACCAAGTAGGTGGAACTACAGGTGTGTGGCATGCACAGCTAATTTTTTTAAATTATTATTATTTGTAGAGATGGGGATCTCACTGTGTTGACCTGGGTGGTCTCGAATTCCTGGCCTCAACCAATCCTCCCACTCAGGCTCCCAAATTTCTAGGATTACAGGCATGAGCCACCGCACCTGGCCAAATACTTCTATAAACCATTTCTTGTAAAAGTTTCCAACTGAGCCGGGCTCAGTGGCTCAGCCTGTAATCTCGCGCCTTTGGGAGGCTGAGGTGAGTGGATTGCCTGAGCCCGTGGGTTCGAGACCCGCCTGGGCAGTGAGACCTCATCTCTACAATAAATCAAAAAATCAGCCGGGTGTGGTAGCGCATGCCTGTAATTCCAGCTACCTGGAAGGCTGAGGCGGAAGGATCGCCGGAGTCCAGCAGGTCAAGGCTGCGCTAGCCAGGAGCGGCCACTGCACTCCAGTCTGGGCGACAGAGTGAGACTCCAACTCAAAAAAAAAAAAAAAAAATTTCCAACTGGCTGTAAGACGGTGTTTTTCAAAGTGGAACCCAGAAGAAAGGGACTGTACAGGGGAGACCCCAGAGTGCTGTGGGAGGACAGCCCTGAAGGAGCCCAGAGAATTTCACCCCAAAATGTGGCATCCTGCTGCACTGATTATTTTAAATTAAAGGTCCTTAAAAGTCAGAATCTGCTGGAAAAGGCTTTTCTCTGATCTTCTTTCCTACCTTAAGGCTGGACCCACCAACGAGAATATACTGGCTTTCCATCCCCTCCCAGAAATCTCGTTGTCTATCAAAGGCAGGAATGTAACCACACTTGGATAGACTTTTTCAAAATATATCGTCTACCTCTTGGGCTCCAATTCCAAAGAGAATCATTTACAGTTTCTGTCTCCTGGTCCACTCATCCTCTCTTAAAATCATTTATGTATGACCCCTCAAAAGAACAGTCTACATTTCCTGTCTCCCCCATCCTCCATGAAGAAGGGGTGTATACATATATATATATATATGTGCACCTGAATCCCATGGGGTTACTGGATAATCACTCTCCTGTGATTTTCACCCTGTGCACATTAGAATAAATCTTTATGGCCCACACTCTTATTTAATTTGCAATTAATGACCCAGAACCCTCGAATCTAAACGAGTTAACAAGACACTTTTTTTTTTCTTTTTCTTTTTCTCTTATTAGCCTGCCTTTTGGGGGTTCCTTTTTTAGTGAGGCTTCAGAGGGCAAGAGGAAACTGCCCGCTTAGCCCCTGCAGCACCTTCCACAGAGCCCTTCCCTTTTGAAGTGACTTTCCTCACATGATTTCATTCCAACAAAAGTCCTCATGACTGAAACGAACCCTGAGTATCACTGTGGAATGTTCGTGTTGTCACTATGCCAGAGGTAAGAAACAGGGCACCGAAACTCAAGAGGCCCACTCTCAAGGAGCCAAACTTAGCCCACAGCTGGCATAGGCAGGAGGAAGGTAAGAATGAAACAGAAACACCACACCTTGGGTTACACAAAGGACTAAATATGTTATAATAAGAAGAAACATTATTACTGTGGCTAATAATACCTGTCAACATCTAGTGTATGTTTTTCACCTATTTCTTTGTCTTATCATGTCTCCACCAATTAGTTCAAGGAGGCAAAGACTTGTGTCTGTTTTGTTAACTGCTGGATTCCCAACACCTAGAACGATGCCTGGCCTACAATCAATGCTCACTATGCTTTTGTTGAACTTGGCCACGCACTAGTGTCAACATTTCGTGTAGATTATCTCATTTAAGGCTCACAATGACCCTGTGAGGTGGATGCTATTTTAATGTCTGTTTTACGGTTGAAATACTTGAAGCATGGGGAGGTTAGATAAACTATCTTTTGCCGGGCTCAGTGGTTCATGCCTGTGATCCCAGCACTTTGGGAGGCCAAGACAAGAAGATTGCTTCAGGCCAGGAGTTCCATCCAGACCAGCCTGGGTAATATAGTAAGACCCTCTCTCAACAACAACAACAACAAAGTGTCCCTGATTACACAGCTAGTGAGTGCAGGGAATAGAGGAAGACCCCAGTCATACTGGCACCACAGCCCACACTCTTATTTAATTTGCAATTAATGACCCAGAACCTTTGAGTCTAAATGAGTCAATAAGATAAGTTTCACTAAATTCCTCCAGCCTTTTCTTTCTTTCCTTCATTCAAGTAGGTGTATTTTCTATGATCACCTTTACTTTGCAGGTAAGAAAACAGAGGCAGAGAGAGGCTGAGAAACAGCTGACTAGAGGCAGAGCTAAGTTCCAAACCCAGGGAATGTGACTGCGTGTGTACACCCATCCTGCTGTAACAGGCAGGACTCTGAGTGCCTATGTACAAACGCAGACTCAGAGTTCTCACTCCTTACTCTGCCCTATTCATGATTAAGGTGATAGTCTTGCACCAGGGTTGGCTGGTATCCCAAACACACAAATACATTTACTGATGGCATCCTACCACTGGAAAGAGTGACTACTAACACATCACAGAATGATAAAACACATCGGCATACAAAGGCTTTATGGATCCGTTTTGTTTGCTTGTTTGTTTTTGTTTTTTTGAGTCGGGGGTCTCACTCTGTCATCCAGGTTGGAGTGCAATGGCAGGCTCATGGTCACCACAGCCTTGACCTGCTGGGCTTAGGCGATCCTTCCGCCTCAGGCTCCCAAGTTGCTGGAACTACAGGTGCCTGCCACCACGCCCAGCTAATTTTTTTTCTTCTAATTGTAGAGATGAGGTCTTGCCATATTGCCCAAGCTGGGAATCTGTTATTTTTTAATCAAATGCCTAAAAACTTCTCAAGCAACATTTTTATACCAAAGACAAATATTCAGTAATAAAAGTAAACAGACTATGGCTTTTTGTGAAGAAAAGCTATATCAACATCTTGCAATGTTCTCTTTGTATATGCTCAGAAATGTTCTGGCCAATGTGGGACCCAGTTTGACTTTCACAGGAACACATGGGGATTCCACTAACTTCAACAGATTTGTCCCTGGGCTGCTCAATTCATCTGCAGCCAGATGGAAAATGAAAAACTGAGGACAGAGCTGGGCCTATTGTCAAAGACACAAAGAAGGTATTGTGCAGAAACAGCCCAAAGTCTTACCCAGCTGCTATGAAAGCCCCGAGAATGATGGCAAAGACACTGACGATGATGTTCAGTGAATACTGCTTCCTGTAATAAATAAATACATGAGAAAGGATGGCGAGAGGAGAGGAACACTTCAAAATACAGATTATGTTTTCAACAAATTGAAAATAGACACCAACAGCTTTGTAGTTAAAACCTAACAGACAATGCTGTATGTGAAGAAAGCACCAAAAGTGTTTCTAAGACAGACTATATTTACATAATTTCTTAAGTAATTTTTCTTCATCTAATCATAAACTGATTTCTCTGTTCTCTCGAGAGAGACACTGGGACCAAATAGAGGAGTTCCCGCTGGGGAACTAGTTTGTGTGGTCTGATATTGAGCAACCGAAGACTGAGATCAAATTCAGCACAGGGGTATAAAACATTGAACCATCAATCAAACTTCATTGCTAAATAATCTTCACAGCAAAATCAAAAATCATCTTTTTCAGACATCATACTGAGTATCCTTATGAGACATTTTTATACCAGCATTAAAAAATTAATTATTTTCTGATGTTATATTATAATCACTGCATCAGAATGTATTTCTCTGATATTCCGCAATCCTACCTACATATGGACAATTTTCCTTGTGTTTTGCAGAACCGATGTATATTCCATCCAGCTCAGGAAGCAGATTGACATCTGTTTTGGAGTGGATTTTTAAAATAAGTTTCTACCATAAACACATACTATTTGACTAATGTAAAATTACAATTTTTAAAAATCCTTCATTAAGTTCTTAGGGAATCACAGAAGCAGGTGGTAGCTTTCACACAAATAAGCCATATGTTGTCCTGAAGTTATTGCAACAAGAAAATCAGATCAACTATTTGGAAAGACAGCTAGATGGCAAGAACTCGCTGGGTGAAAATAATATAGGGGGTAAAAAAAAAAAATGGAGAAAAAAATAACAATCACCCAAGTACGATGGTTTCCAGGAGCAAAGTCAATGGAATGGTGAATTTCCTGAGCACGGTGAACATCGGCAGGCTGTCGGGAAAAGATGTACGTGTCATGTCAGATACCAAGTATTGGTGGTGGTGGTGATTTTTAAACATGTTTACATTTTTAATTAAGCCTACTGATTTTCTGAATTAAATATAAGAAATTAACCTTAATTTTCATATTTACTCTTAACAAATCATGTTAAATAGATTAAGTCATAAAAAGAAAAATAGAGATTAAATAATTTCATACCACTCATCTAGCAATTTAAAACACCGTACTATCCTGCCCTTCCAAGACTGGGCTGAAACCAGTTCACAGCATGAATCAGTACACCCTTAGACAAATCAAGCTGGAACTACGTATCAACAGTCATTAAACGAACCTAACCCTAGACCTAGTTATCTTCTGTTGAGAAGCATCCTAAGGTAATAATTCAAAAGAAGGAGAAAACCGTATATGTGAATGTGTTCACTACGGTGTCTGAGGGCAAAATGCCACAACCTAAATGGCAGACAACAAGGCAATGGTTAAATAAATCATGACATGTTCACTTGAGGGGGCAGGATACAATAACTCTACAATATAAAGACTATTGGAAAATTAATATTAAATAAACAAAAAAAGGATAAAAAACCACATAAGACTTACTACTCTAACAAGACACATTCTGCATATGGAAAAAGACTAAAATTGAGCATTTAAAACTCTGTTAAACAATGGAATTACGGGTGATTTCCCCCCAAACGTTATATGGCGAGGCTACAGTGCCTTACCACACATACTTGAGAAACTTTCACCTACTCCCAGCCCCCAGAGATTCCAGGAGACAGTTCAATGCACAGCCCACAGATTGCCAGGGACTCCCTGCTCCCAGACCCAGCCTTGAGAAGACAGCAGGTAAGAGAAGGAAAGTCAGAGCCAGACGACAGCCCAGGACAGAGAGTGGGCAGTCCTTCCAACCCTCCTGACCAGATCTGAGAATGGGTGTCACGTTATCAGTGAAACTGCCTTGAGACAGCAGGTGCAGAAAACATTTTCAGAGACTTTATATCCACACTTAAAGATCGTTCATGAGACTGGCTTGAGGGCCAGGCGCAGTGACTCGTGCCTGTAATCCCAGTGCTTTGGGAAGTCAAAGAAAAAGGATCACTTGAGGTCAGGAGTTCAAGATCAGTCTGGGCAACACAGCAAGACCCTGTCTCTACAAAAAAATTTAAAAATTAGCTGGATGTGATGGAGTGTCTGTAGTCCCAGCTACTCAGGAGGCTGAGTTAGGATGATTGCTTCAGCCCAGGAGTTCAAGGCCACAGTGAGCTATGACTGCACCTCTGCACTGCAGCCTGTATGACAGAGCAAGACCCTATCTCAAAAAAAAGAGAAAGAAAGAAAAAAAAAGATGACTATCTTAAAGGCTTGAACTTAAACTTTTTCAAACCAAGCAAGACAACCACAAGAAAGTTACATTTTCAATTAAGTATTTTTAGATAATGCCTTTTAGAAGCAGATAGGTATTCTTGGTGATAAAAAGCGGAATGTTTTTCCCCTAAGATCAGGAACCAGACCAGGATATTCACTCTTTCCACTACATCTATGCAACATTGTACTTGAGGTTCTAGGCAGGGCAATTGGGAAAACAAACATCCAATTTGGAAAGAAAGAAACAAAGTTATCTCTATTTGCAAATAATATACTATATATAGAAAATCCTAAGGAAGTCACTAAAAAAGTATTAAAATTAATAAATGAGTCAAGCAAGTGTACAGGAAATAAAATGAATGCACAACATCATTTCTAGTATTTCTATATATTACCAATGAGCAATTTTAAAATGAAATTAACAAAGCGATGTCACTTTCGATAGCATCCAAAATAATAAAATTCTTAGGAATAAATTTGATGAAAGAAAGGTAAGTACCTGTGCACTGAAAACTACAAAACATTATTAGAAGAAACTAAAGAAGACCTAAATAAGTAGAAAGAAAGTAGAAAGACATTCCATGTTCATGGATCAGAAGACTTAAAGTTGTTAAAATGGAAATACTCCTCAAATAGATTTACAGATTGCTACAGTTTAGATATTCGACCCTCCAGACTTCATGTTGACGTTGAATCCCTAACGTTGGAGGTGCTGCCTAGTGGGGGGTGTTTGAGTTGCGTGGGCTGAGCTAGGGGTGGGGAAGGAATGACTTTCCATTCTGCTAGTCCTCTTGAGAGCAGGTTGGTAAAAAGGGCCTGGGACCTCCCCCCCTCTCTCTTGCCATATGATTTCCGCACAGGCCGGCTCCACTTCCCCTTCCCTCATGAATGGAAGCAGCCTGAGGACCTCACCAGATGCAGAGGCTGACACCATGCTTCCTGTACAGCCTGCAAAATCATGAGCCAAATTAGCTTATTTAGTCAGAGTCTCGCTATGTCGCCCAGACTGGAGTGCAGCACAATCACAGCTCACTGCAACCTCAACCTCCTGGGTTCAGGAGATCCTTCCACTTCAGCTTCCTGAGTAGCTGGGGCTCAAGTGCACAACACCACACCTGACTAATTTTTTATTTTTTGTAGGGACAAGGTTTCGCTATGTTGCCCAGGCTAGTCTCAAACTCCTAGACTCAAGCAACTCTGTCTCGGCTTCCCAAAGTGCTGGGATTACAGGTGTGAGCCACTGCACTGGGTCCTTTTCTCTTTATAAATTGCCCAACCTCAAGTTATCCTTTATAGCAACACAAGCAGACTAACACACAAGATTCAACATAATCCCTATTAAATCTCAGCAGGCTTTTTTGGATATATATATATTTTTTTCTTTTTTTTTGCAGCAACTAAGTGATTTTAAAATTAATAAGGAAATGCAAGAAAAACAGAAAGCCGAAACAGTCTAGAAAAAGAAGAACAAAGCTGGTGTATTTCCACTTCCCCATTTCAAAACTTACTACAAAGTTATGGTAAACAAGACTATCCAGTACTTGTTTAAGGATAGGTATGTAATCAGTAGAAGAGAATTGAGAGTCAAGCAAAAAAATTCTTACAAATAAGGTCAATAAATTTTCAACAAGGGTACCAAGAAAATACAATGGGAAAAGAACCGTCTTTTCAACAAATGGTGCTGGGACAATGGAACATCCACATGCAAAAGAATGAATCTGAACTCCTACCTCACACCATACATAAAAAATTAATCCAAGAGCCAGGCACAGAAGCACACGCCTATAGTTCCAGTCACGCAAGAGTCTGAGGTAGAAGGACCGCTTAAAGTCAGGAGTTTGATGCTACAGTGCACTATGATGATACCTGAGAATAGCCACTGGACTCCAGCCTGACCAAAATTGTGAGACCTCCTCTCTAAAATAAGAATACTGCTAATAATTAACCCAAATGTAGGATCTAAAACTATAAAACTCTTATAAGAAAGTGCAGGAGTAAATCTTTATGACCTTGGATTAGGTAAAGCCGTAGATAAAACATCAAAAGCACAAGTAATAAAAGAAAAAAATAGATAATTTTTCATCAGAATTTAAAACTTTTATAAGTGGATGGACAAAATGTGATATATACATGCAACGCAATGTTATTCACCTTAAAAAGAAATGAAATCCTGAGACATGCTACAACATGGATAAACCTTGAGAACAATAAGGCAGACAAATATTGTATGACTCCACTTGCATGAAATATCTAGAGCAGACAAATTTGTAGAGGCAGAAGGTAGAGTGGAGATGGCCAGGGGCTGGGAGCTAAGGAGAATGAGAAATTATTGTTCAATGACAGGTTTTCCCATCTAGGATGATGCATATATTGTACATATACTTAATGCCACTGGATTGTACACTTAAAAATGGTTAAAATGTTAAAATTTGCATTACATATATTTAACCATAACCATTATTTAAGTTTTTTAAAGTTTTAAATTTGGGTGCTTCCAATGACACCATTAAGAGAGTGAAAAAGGCCAGGCTTGGCTCAGCCTGTAATTCCAGCACTTTGGGATGCCAAGGTGAGTGGACTGCCTGAGCCTGCAGGTTCAAAACCAGCTCGGGCAACTTAGCAAGACCTCATCTCTACAATAAATCAAAAATTAGCCGGGCATCGTAGTGCATGCCTGTAGTTATGGTTATTTGGAATCCTGCGGCAGAAGAATCGCCAGAGCCCAGAAGGTTGAAGCTGGGGTGGCTGTGAGTGTGCCACTGCCCTCCAGCCCAGAGTGAGACTCCAACTCAAAGAGGGAGAGAGAGGGGAAGAGAGAGAGAGAGAGAGAGAGAGAGAGAGAGAGAGAGAGAAAAGACAATCCATAAAATAGAACAAAATGTTGCAAGTCAGATACATAACGATGGACCTGTATCCAGAATACATAAAGAACATTAAAACTTGATAACAACAAGACAAAAAAAAAAAACCTGTTTAAAAATAAGCCCTAAAACAACAACAAAAACCACAAAGAAAAAACATAAGTAAAGAGTTATAGACATTCCTCTGAAGAAGACATACAAATGGCCAATAAGTCACATGAAAAGATGCTCAACATCATTAGTCATCAGGAAGATATAAATGTAAATCAAAACCACAGTGATACACCACTTCATAACCATTAGAATGACTATAACAAAAACAGACAGTAGCAAATTTGGCAAAGATATAGAGAAGATGTAACCCTCATACACTGCTGGTAGGAATGCAAAATGGTACAGCCACTTTGGAAAACAGTTCAGCAGTTCCTCAGAAGGTTAAACAGAAAACTACCATACGATCAAGCAGTTCTGCTCCTAGGTATGTGCCCAGTGAATGGGAATCCCGTTTTTACACTTCAACGGGTCAAAAACCATGAAGTCATCTTTTTCTCATTTCTTTCCTTCATACCCCATATGTTATTCATCAGGATACTGTGCCCTTCCTGCAAAATACATCCAGCATTCAGACTGTAGTCTCTAAATAGCATTTAACATTAAAAATAATCAGTATATTCTTAGAGAAGTGGAAGGAAACATCTGAGATAAGCCTGAGACATCATTTGCAAGAACAAGACTACTGGGGCCATAGAACATAGGCGCCTACTCAAAGAGACTCCCATTAGCCTGAGATGGGACACTTTGAGCACCAGAGAAACTATTTCTTTAATGAATGAAAATATATCAAGTAAATGAGACAAACAAATCAGTGGAAAAGAATAGAGAGCCTAGAAGTAGACCCACACAAATATTAGTCAACCAGTCTTTGAAAAAGGAGCAAAGGCAATTCTTTAGCAAAAGAACAGTCTTTTCAATAAACAGCACTCATAAGTTGGACATCCATGTACAAAAAAACTGAATCTAGACACAGACCTTATGCCTTTCACAAATATTAACTCAAACTGAATCACCAACATGTAAAACATAAACTATAAAAATCCTGGAAGGTAGCTTAGGAAAAATCTGGGTGACTTTGGGTTTGGTGATGAGTTTCAAATATGACACCAAAAGCACAACCCATCAAAGAAAAAAATTAATTGTGGAGCTTCATTAAAATTCAAAACTTCTGCTCTGTGAAAGATATGTTAAGAGAATAAAAAAGATAAGCCACAGATGAGGAGAAAATATTTGCAAAACACATATCTGATAAAGGACTTATATCAAGTAAATGAAAACCCATGAGTTCATAATAATAGGAAAAAACAAATAAAAACATCCCTCGCTGTTCACCATGGAAGGTGTCAGGACACTAATTTATTAGTCTGAACGTTCATAAATAAAGCTTCTACCCTGCTTTTCCTGTGTGAAGTGGTGAAAATGTGTCTTTATTGAAAAAGCTTAGACAGCAAATGTATAAGGTCACCATTTTACAACTTGGATTAAGTCCATTAAAGAATGAACCTAAGCCGGGCTCGGTGGCTCAGCCTATAATCCCACGCCTTTGGGAGGCTGAGGTGAGTGGATTGCCTGAGCCCGCGGGTTCGAGACCCGCCTGGGCAGTGAGACCTCATCTCTACAATAAATAAAAAAACCAGCCGGGCATGGTAGCGCATACCTGTAGTTCCGGCTACTTGGAAGGCTGAGGCGGAAGGATCGCCGGAGCCCAGCAGGTCGAGGCTGCGGTGGCCGGGAGCGGCCACTGCACTCCAGTCTGGGCGACAGAGTGAGACTCCAACTCAAAAAATAATAATAATAATAATAAATAAATAAAAATAGAAAGAATGGACCTAGAAGATGAACATCCAAGGCTGCTAAAACCATTAGGGGAAAGGCGAATGAAGAACTTTCTGATGAAGGGACCATATTGACCCTTAAAATCATTAAAAGTGGAATTCTTCAATTTAATATCATCCAAAGACGAACAAATAATTAAGTGCCCCATAATTAAAAGACACTGAAATAAATGAAGATGCAAATTTCAGAAGTACACAGCTCACACTTGGAAATGTCTGTCATTTATTTTTCCCTGTACCAAATCTGACCTATATCAAATCTGGCAGAATGTCCCTACTCTTACATAAAATTCTGACGAAACCAAAAGTTACACCAAGCCATATTTATACAAATGAATCTACTGGATAAATCAGACCTTCTCTACTTTAATATCTACAGATCTAATATTCTATGTTCAGACTTGAATATAAGAAAATATGTAAACTTGTTGACATTCCCCAAAACACTGGCAAATTAAACTCAAAACTCTACCTTACTTTTAAAAATTACTCACTATTATAGTCTTCTACCTGCAGTCCAAGCAACATATTGAAAAATCAAACCTGGCCTTTGTACCATTAATACAAATATAAGGAGCCTCCCAACAGCCATTACCCTGCACTCTACCTTAATTTACTTGTGCTTGATAGTCCACTTATATGGTTTCCAACGTAGAGAATAGGCAGAGGAAACAGCTTCAATTTAAAAAAAGAAGAAGAAAGAATATTTAGTTAGAATTTCAATAAGCATTTTCCTTCACACATAAAAATGGTGACAGGTACTTCATAAAAGAGGATATGATATCCAAATAAGCACTAAAAAATGAAAAGGTGCCCAACCTCATCAGTAATCAGGGAAATGCAAATTAAAGCCCATGAGATGTCACTACACACCCACCAGAATAGCAAAATTTAAAATGACTGGCATACCGAGATTTGGAAAGAACGTGAAGCAGCAGGGACTTTCATGCACTTTTGTCAGGAGTGTGAATTGGTGCAACCACTTTAAAGAGCAGTTTGACACTAGCTATTAAAGTTGAAGACATGCACACCCCAGGAGCCAGCAGTTCCACTCCTAGATGAGCCCCACCCCTCCATGCAAATGTGCTACTATGGACCACTTTGTGTTCCTCACCTATATTCATGTGTGGAAACCCTAACCCCCGTGTGACTGCTTTTGAAAAAGAGTCTTTAAAGGAGGTAACTGGGGTTAAATGAGATCATAAAGATGGGGCCCTAATCCAACAGGATTGGTGTCCTTATCAGTAAGAGAAAGAGATCGGCCTGGGCAAACTACCAAGACCCTACTTCTACAAAAAAATTTTATTTTTATTTATTTTTATTTTTATTTTTTTTGAGTTGGTGTCTCACTCTGTCGCCCAGACTGGAGTGCAGTGGCCGCTCCCGGCCACCACAGCCTCGACCTGCTGGGCTCCAGCGATCCTTCCGCCTCAGCCTTCCAAGTAGCTGGAATTACAGGCGCACGCTACTACACCCAGCTAGTTTTTCTTTTTTATTTTGTATTTATTGTAGAGATGAGGTCTCACCAAGTTGCCCAGGTGGGTCTCGAACCCGCGGGCTCAGGCAATCCACTCACCTCAGCCTCCCAAGGCGCAGGATTACAGGCTGAGCCACCGAGCCCGGCTTACCAAAAAAATTTAATTAGCCAGGCATGGTGGCATGCACCTGAAGTCCTAGCTTCTTGGAAGGCTGAAGCAGGAGGATCACTTGAGCCCAGGAGGTCAAGGCTGCAATGGACCAAGATCACCCCCACTGCACTCCAACCTGGGCAACAGAGTGAGAACCTCTCTCAAAAAAAAAAAAAAAAAAGAGGAAGGAAGGAAGGGAGAGAGGGAGGGAGGGAGGGAAGAAAGAAAGGAAGGAAAGTAAGAAAAATAGATACCAGGAGTGCACACTCACAGAGGCCACGTGAGGACACAGCAAGAAAGTGGCTTTCTGCAAGCCAGAAAGTGAGGCCTCACCAGAAACCAGCTCTGCTGGCACCTTGATCTTGGACTTCCTGCCTCCAGAACTATGAAAAAATACATGCCTGTTGTTTAAGCCACTCAGTCTATGGTATTTGGAGACACTCAAACTACTATGAGCAAAATAACAGAAAAGTAAATAAATTATGGTCTATTCATACCATAAAAGTAAAAGAATATAGCTATACACAACAATGTGGATGAATCTTATCACAATATTAAGTGAAAGAAACAAGTTACAAAAGAATGTATAGAGTTTGGTTCTCTTTATATAAACTTCAAAAGCAGATAAAACCAAACTACAAAACTTAGGGATGCATCCAAATTTAGAAAAATTACAAAGAAAGCAAGAAAATTATAGTTACCAAAGTTAGGCAAGTGGGTTAGGTTTGTGATCCCATTTCACAACCTAAGTAATAGTTTGCAAGAGAATTAGTCATCCAACTACACATTCATGTACAAAGACTTTTTCTCTATATATAAATCAGATCTCACAATTTTAAAATGCTTACACTGTTCAAAAATTATACTATATCATAAAAAAAGTGTAAGCAAGGCCAACAATATTATTATTTTCCCCATGGTGATTAAGTTGATAGCTTTCATATACTGAAACATTTTACTTTTCATTTGTTGTGGATATCCCTGATTACTGATGCTGTAAGCATGTGCTTGTATATTCTGTCTGATGAATAATCCAGTGCAAGATGCTGGAAATTTTCCAGGCATTAGAGACCCAGCAGTAAACAAGCCATTTGAGGTCCTCACCTTGACAGTTTAAGTGAAAGTCAAATGCCATCCTAATCCATATAATACCACCCGTTGTATGGGATTGGTCTAAGAATTAAGTGCCTGCCCTAATGACTGATATCCAGCAACTGTTCATTAAAAGTCGGTTCCATGGATTGCCCGAGCCCGCAAGTTTGAGACCCACCTGGGCAACTTGGCGAGACCTCATCTCTACAATAAATCAAAAATTAACCAGTTGTGGTAGTATGTGCCTGTAGTTCCAGCTACTTGGAAGCCTGAGGCGAAAGGATCGCCGGAGCCCAGCAGGTCGAGGCTGTGGTGGCCAGGAGCGACCACTGCACTCCAGTCTAGGTGACAGAGTGAGACGCCAACTCAAAAAAAAAAAAAAAAGTCCGTTCCATTTCACATTTCTAGGAAGGAATGGCAGATTGTATGTTCCTAGTTCCATGACAGGAAAAAAAAAAAGCAGTGTATTTCTATGTATATCAAATTGCATTCTTCATTCTGCACATAGCTTTTATCAATCCAAGTTAAAAACGAAAACTGGGAAACTCCCGGGGACAGGAGTGGGATTGGCAGTAGTGGGAAACTGCTGGGCGGTGGAGAACACACCTCATCAACAAGGATACTTTCATAATGAACACCTGTATACCTAACCCTGAATTGCACACCACATCTTTAAAATAAGATTTTTTTTTAATGAAAACTGAAAACAGGTATCAGCAAACTAGGGCACAAATCCAGCCCAGCTCTGTAGTTTACTGGAACACAACTACATTAATTCATTTATACATCATCTAGGTCTGCTTCCATGGTACAGGGACAGAGTTTAATCGTTGGAACAGAGATGGTCTGACCCTTTACCAAAAAAGTTTGCCGGGCCAGGGGCAGAGGCTCAGGTCTATAATCCTAGCATTTTGGAAGGCCAAGGTGAGAGGATTGCCTGAGCCCACGGGTTTGAGACCAGCCTGGGCAACTTGGCGAGACTTATCTCTACAATGAATTAAAAAATTAGCTGGGCATGGTGGCACTTAGAAGGGTGAGGCAGAAGGATCACCAGAGCCCAGCAGGTTGAGGCTGCAGTGGCTGTGAGCATGCCACTGTACTCCAGCCTGGGTGACAGAGTGAGATTCTGACTCAAAAAAAAAAAAAAAAAGTTTGCCAATCCTTAATTTGGAGTTTGGTCATTTCAGAAGACACATGGTATTTATTTAATGTCAATTATTAAGCGCATACTTTTACTACTATTGCATTATATAAATGGACAACTAAATGACATACACTCTTTACTGAGAAATTTCTAGCTGGATACAGTATCTCACGCCTATAGCCTCAGCACTTTGGGAGCCTGAAATAGGAGTTCAAGATCAACCTGGGCAATACAGCAAAACGTCAACTCTACAAAAAAATCCAAAAATTAGCCAGGCATAGTGGCCCGTGCCTGTAGCTCTAGTTACTCAGGATGCTGAGATGGAAGGATTGCCTGAACTCAAAAGGTCAAGGCTACTGTAGCCGTGATCTGATCTTCATGATCATGCACTGCACTAAAGCCTGGCCAACAGAGTGATACCCTAACTAAAAAAAAAGTTTCTACCCAGTACAAGCAGGAAGTACAATGTGTTATAGAAATGGGCCTTCATTCTAAAATCAAGATGTATTTTTATATCTTCTATCAAAACTATATATATGTTTCATCACATACCTTTACAGGAATTTTCTTGTCAAAATCAGGGAAATGAATTATTTTATTTAGCTTGGATACATACAGTATCATTATGGTGGCAGCCATCTAAAGAAAAGGGGAGAGAGATACTTCAGCAAATTACTTGCAAAGATTGCTTGAGGTGCAATTACATCATCAGAAGAAAACAGATTTAGAAAAAGAAATATAGCAGGAAAAAAAATCTATCTTCTGGATTTCAGAAAAAATAACTATTTCCTACAATATTAAAATTGGTGTTTTTGTCTTGTTTTATTTTTTGCCACTGTATGGATTCCATCAGAACTACAGGCAAAAAATATAACATCAAATAGACTCACACATATGCACATCAGCTCAAGGGGCTCTTGGAATGCAATAGTGACAGAAGGAGAAAGGGAATGGTGTCCCTGACAGTGACCAAGTGACCACAGTCAGTGCAGTCACACATTGATCCTGTACAATACTTCTCATATACTAAACATACAGTCACCTTCCCACATAAAGGCAGGGGAACAGTTTTGTCTTTGGGGGGTCTTTTTGTGAGGTGGAGTCTCACTCCATCACCCAGGCTGGAGCGCAGTGGCACACTCACGACCACACCAGTGTCGACCTGCTGGGCTCCGGCGATCCTTCTGCCTCAGCCTTCCCAGTAGCCAGAACTATAGGTGTGTGCTACCACGCCTGGCTACTTTTTTTTATTTTTTATTTTTTGATTTACTGTAGAGACAAGGTCTTGCCAAGTTTCCCGGGCTGGTTTCGAAACCATGGGCTCAGGCAATCTGCTCACCTCGACCTCCCAAAGTGCTGGAATTATAGGCTTAAGCCACTGCGCCTGGCCGGAACAGTTTTTAAAAAATAAACTTAACACATGAAAATTCCAATAGCCCATAACACAAAAGATAAATTAAGAGAAAAAAAGAGAAAAACAAGTTTTAAAAGAGATTTATTTTTCTCTTCAGTTTAGCCAGCACAGCAAATGTCTCACTGAAACCCTATTAAGCTTGAGTACACTAGTATATTAGAACTACTCCATACTATTATGAAATTTTAAAAAATTAATATCATCTTCCTATGCAAGTTTTACAACTTACTTGATTTTCTTCATATTAGGATACTAAAATTTAAGAACTCCTCAACAAGATTATAACCCTAAACCTTGCTCCAAATGAGATAACAAACTTAATACTTACGACAGATTTATATAGCTCCAGTTCATCCCATCCTCAATTATAATTATAACTTTGCATTTATGGTTTACTTTATAATTCTTAAAGAAATATACTAACATTTATTTAAAATAAATGTAATTCAGGCTTTTAAATGCTGTCCGATTGCTTTTTCCCTCAACAAATTACAAATCAGAAAGGATGTCCCTTAACTGTATAAACCAGCCAGTAGCTTAAAGATAATTAATTCATTTATCTTAGTGGTTACAAAGGGCACATTATCACATATTCATCGATTTTTTTTTTTGAGTCTGATTCTTACTCTGTCACCCAGGCTGGAGTGCAGTGGCATGCTCATGGCCACCGCAGCCTTCACTGCTGGGCTCAGGCGATCCTTCCACCTCAGCCTTCCTCAGCTGGAACTACAGGTGTGTGTCACCATGCCCAGCTAATTTTTTTATTTATTGTAGAGACAAAGTCTTGCCATGTTGCCCAGGCTGATCTCGAACTCGTGGACTCAGACAATCCTCTCATCTCAGGCTCCCAAAGTGTTGGGATTACAGGTGTGAGCCACTGCACCTAGCTGTCATTGATCTTTTTTAACGTGCTTTTTTCTATATATTTTTACATTGAAACATAAATACGATTTCTTTTTACTGTAAGGAAGCATATTGGTTTCTTGTTATTTTTCCTCCCTAAAATTAAGCATATTGGTTTCTTGTTATTTTTCCTCCCTAAAATCTTGCAAAGAGTTACTTATTAGAAAACATTTAACTAGAATAATGCTTACTCATTAAATGACAGCCTTTTCCAGATTCACAATTAAAAATGTAAATAACAAATACAATTTTCATAATTTTAAGCTTTTCCTTCTACAATTAAAGCAAAATCCAAAACAAAAAAACCCTTGGTGCTTCTTGCTGCTTGCCGATCTAGAAACCACCAGCATATGAACAAAAGAATAAACAAACCACAAATTAATATTAATGGCAAGTGACAAGTGCCTATAATCCTAGCTACTCAGAAGGCTGAGATGGGAGGATCACTTGAGCCCCGGAGCTGGCGACCACCCTGGGCAACACAGCGAGACCCCATCTCCCCCAAAAAATAATAAAATACTAATGCGAAGTTTCAGAAATAGCCAAATAGACTGAGTTTAAAAGCTTATCCAACCTCATCCTTCCACTTGAGAGCAAAAAATCACAAACTACAAGATGCAAAGCGCAAACATGTTTTGTTTGGCCCGGAGATAGTCCTGTAAACACGTGAATCACCTGCCGGCATTTACAGATTTGGAGATTTTATGTAAAAATTTAAATTCCCTCTTTCTCCTGAAAAAACTCCTATGTTCTAATAATAAGGGCATGATGGGTCCCACCCCCTCTGCCCAACCCTTTCCTTTCGAGCCTAATGGCTTAAGTATCAAGTTCACACTTTAAGTGGGACAAGCATTCCCCTCTTCCACAAGGCCCTCAACCTACTCATCTGTTCCCCACTGAGTCTTGGAGGTTCTAAGTTGCTGATCCTTGCTTTGGAGTAATTACATTGAATTAGGCACTTAAAATAAGTAGTTGTTTTTCCCACAAGTAAATTGTTCCTAAAATGCAGAATGAAATAAACTGTGTGTCAGTGTTTCAAGTTGAGGCTGGGCACGGTGTCTCACGCCTGTAATCCCAGCACTTTGGGAGGCCAAGGCAGAAGAACCACTTGAGTTCAGGAGTTCAAGACTAGCCTAGGCAACACAGTGAGACCTTGTCTCTACAAAAAAATAAAAATATAGCCAGGTGTGGTGGTGCACTCCTGTAGCCTCAATTACTCTACTTGGGAAGCTGACGCAGGAGGGTCACTTGAGCCCAGGAGTTGGAGGGTGCAGTAAGCCGTGATCATGCCACTGCACTCCAAGCTGGACAATAGAGTAAGACCCTAACTCAAAAAAAAAAAAAAAAAAATTCAAGTTGTCCTTTCAAGAATACCATGATCTTCTGGTTCTCTGCCAGCTGAATAAACTTGTAAACGGCGACTTTAAACAAAACACTTAAAATGTCATCATGTACACTGACGACTCATTAATAGACTAATCTTTTTCACTTACCTGTCCAATTCCAAGGACAATTGGTGATGGGAAACTACAAAGAACATAGAATAACAAATCAGTTTAGCAACATATAAAAATTCAAAGACAGTACATAGCACAAAATAACAGGAGTTCTTAAACAGTCTCAGTCAGTGAAAACATCAAGTCTGTTCACTTTTCATCTGTTCATTTTTTTCAGTTTTTCAACTGATTCTTGCTCAACTTGGCGATTTTATAGTTCCCCTTGAGGCAGACTGTCATTATATTAATAGAGAACATGATTGTACATGCAGAAAAAAACAAAATAATCTGATGACAAATTATTAGAATGATTAAACAACTTTAGAAAGGACACTGGGCTGGGCTCAGTGGCTCAGCCTGTAATCCCAGCACTTTGGGAGACTAAGGTGAGTGGATTGCCTGGTTTGAGACCAGCCTGGGCAACTTGATGAGACCTTGTCTCTACAATAAATAAATAAATAAATTAGCCAGGTGTGTGGTAGCGCACGCCTGTAGTTCCGGCTCCTTGGAAGGTTGAGGCAAAAGGATCACCGGAGCCCAGCAGGTTGACACTGGGGTGGCTATAAGTGTGCCACTGCACTCCAGCCCAGGTGATGAAGTGAGACTCCAACTCAAAAAAAAAAAAAGAAAGGACACTGAATATACAAATATATTTCAAAAAATAAATTATGTGGTACATATATACAATGGACTATTATGCAGCCAAAAAGAAGGACAAACATGGACTTCGCAGCAATTTGGATGGATCTAGAGTCTATCATACTCAGTGACCTAAAACAAACAAAGAACAGAGTACCATATGCTCTCACTCATAAGCAAACCTTGAACAATTATCATAATACTGTAAGAAAGGGATTGGCAGCAATGTGAAACTGCCAGGGGAGGGAGGGACACACTTCATCAACATGGGTACCTGCATAATCAACATTTGTATAACCCTGAACTGTACCCCACATCTTTAAAATTAATTAATTAATTAATGTGTCTATATACCAGCAAGTAACAAAGAAGATTAGATTTTTTAAGACATAATTTATAATAATACCAAAAACCCATCAAATAACACTAGCAGAGTTTTTTAAAATTTATTCATCTACTTAATTTTTTTTTAGTCAGAGTCTCACTCTGTCACCCAGGCTGAAGTACAGTAGCATGCTCAGGGCTACTGCGGCCTCGACCTGCTAGGCTCAGGCAATCCTTCTGCCTCAGTCTTCCACGTAGCTGGAACTATAGGTATGCTACCATCGCTGGTCAATTTTTTTATTTTTTGTAGAGATGAGGTATGGCCAGGTTGCTCAGACTGGTCTCAAACTCCTGGGCTCAGGCAGCCCTCTCGCCGCCACCTCCAAAAGTGCGAGGATTACACGCATGAGCCACTGCACCTGGCCACTAGCTGGATATTTTATATTAAGAAATCATTTTTACATTTTTAGGCATGAAATGGGATTGGAGTGTTTAAAAAAAAAAGAGTCACTGTCCTTTAGGAATCCATATTGAAAAGTACATGATAATGTATAAGGTGATAGATATCACAGTTACCCTGATTTGATCATTACACATTGTATGCTTGTATCAAAATATCATATGTACCCCCACAAATATGTACAACTGTTATGTGTCTGTAAACAGTTTTTTGAATGTGCATGATGATAGATAGATAAATAGATAGATTTTTTTTTCCTATAATCCCAGCACTTTGGGAGGTTGAGGTGAGAGATGATATATTTTTAATTTGCTTAAAAATAATCTGGTAGGGAGATGATAGGAGTGAGCGTGCCACTACACTCTAGCCTAAGCAGCAGAGTGAGAGTCCGATTCAAAAAAAAAAAAGAACTTTAAAAAAAGTAAAATAAATAGGGTACCTGATCTCAAACCAAGCAAAGTGTGGACCAAAGGGAGGCCCAAACTTTACCTGTACAATGGCCATTTATATACCTAATCCTGAATCATACCCCACATCTTTAAAATAAAATATTTTAAAAATTGGTAAGTCATATCAAGTAATATATAAAAATAAACTGAGTTGATAAAACAGTCAAAGGAGACAGCACATAGATCTACAGAAACCAACTGATGACGCAAACAACATAATGTCACATGAATAAGTACCTTGAGAAACACCAAGGAACTAAATGGCCACTGCTGAGAATGGAATCACCAATACTTGGGTAATGACTACAGAGTAATTCAATATACTATTTTTTAAAAAACATACTCAGGACAAATCTAATCAAAGCTCTACAGGAAAGATCTCTATATAGAAAATTGTCAATTTATAATAAAAAAAATCAAAGAAGACATAAAAACAGGTCATGGGCTAGAAACTCAATGTCGTAGCGAGATCCATTGCCCTCAAGTCAATCAATAGAATCACAGCAATTTCAGGAGAAAAGCACACGTAGAGGAAAAAGACAAACCCAAAAAGATAAATAGATCTGGAAGACAGACAAACATCACCAAATAGGGCTAATTACTGCGACTAGAATACAGAAAATCATATTCTGTAAGTTTACTTTGGACTTCATGCAATAAAGTTTAATAACTTTATTGAGTAATTAAACAACTCAATAAAGAACTAAGATGATTCAAAGATAAAAGCTAAATTGGTTTCCTTGACGTTTGGAGAAAAAAATCAACTGAATCCTCAGATCTAAAAGCACAAGGTGCTACAGAAAAATCTGCTAAAGAATGCTCAACACAACTGCAGCCACGAATTGTTCATTAAAAACCTGCCTGATCATGGAATCCCACCAATGGGGAGTCAAATCAAAATAATGCACTTGAGAACAAAGACATTGTGGTAAAAGGGCTATTGATGATCACTCTATCCATTTAAATATAGAACAAACTTAAACAAGGATGGAAATATAATTACAGTATACTACATGATGACCAAGATGTAGAGGGCAGGGGAGGTGGGAAGAAGTATGCATGGTCCTCATCTTTCATAACAGGGAGGCCATACATGTTCTCAAAAATTGAAGCATAAGCCAGGTGCGGTAGTTCACACCTGTAATTCCAGTACTTTGGGAGACCAAGGTAAAAGGATTGCTTGAGCCCAAGGGTTTGAGATCAGCCTGTAATCCCAGCACTTTGGAAGGCCAAGGTGAGGGGACTGACTGAGCCCATGAATTCGAGACCAGCCTGGGCAACTTGGTGAAACCTCATCTCTACAATAAATCAAGGAAAATTAACTGGGCATAATGGCGCGTGCCTGTAGTTCCAGCTACTTGGAGGGCTGAGGTGGAAGGATCATCTGAGCCCAGCAGGTTGAGGCTATGGTGGCCGTGAGTGTGCCACTGCCCTCCAGCCTAGGCGAAAGAGTGAGACACCAACTCAAAAAAAAAACCTGAATGTCACACATCCACGCCATTGCAATCCCCAGCTTCAATAAGCCTTCAAATGCAGCTGGCAGTGTAAGTAGCAGTGGAACAACCTCTGATACGACCCAACATAGCAGTAGGGTCAGCTCTAGTCATCTTGCCCGACATGTTTAAACTACATGAAATCAAGTCTTTCAATTTAATTTTCAGTTAGAGAATAGAGGACCATAAGTTAATCAACGCTTCAAAAAATAAATCAGACATTCAAAATGTGGAACTATTACGAAACAACTGGCCCAGGTTTTTCAAAAAATCAACATCACGGGGGGGACGGCATGATATTAAAATAAACCAGAAGACATAACTGTCTGATTTGCATGAGACTTAATTGGATCTTGATTCAAATGTTAAAAACAACCATAAAGACACCCTTGGGACAATTAATATTATGGGGGGGAGAAAGAAGAAACTTTTGATCAGGTCCAGAAAAGCACTGGAATGACACAGGGATGGACCTCTTGAATGGGAATACAAGAGAGGTGGGGCCAGTGAGGGGTGGACTTCCTGAGAGGGATCTCAGAGTGGGGGTCCACTCATGGGAAAGTTAATCACCTGAATGGGGCCGTTCTTGTCACACCCAACGAAAACAGAACAGAGAAACCAGAGGAAAAAAGCACTCAGGGTATATAAACTTTGGTCTAAGAATGGAACCCTCTGCCAGCTTGGCTGCTGGAACCTGAAGCTAGTTGTATGTACACCTCTGAGTGACTAGCTGCAAACCTGGATTACTTTTCCCCACCATCCTCAGAGCTTGCCACTTCCCAAGCCCTTACCGTGCCAGTGAAACTCTTGCCAGTGTCATAGAGCAGTACGTAACATTCCTCCTCGTCATGAAACCTCTAACCTTGTCTTTGTTCTTCGGACCATAGCGAAGACCACTTGGTCTGCACGTATGCCCCAAGTTGCAATTCTCTCTTCCCAAATAAACCATTAAATTTAGAGAGTCAGGCCAGGTGCAGTGGCTCACACCTATAATCCCAGCACTTTGGGAGGCCACGGTGGGAGAATCACTTGAGCCCAGAGTGCAAGACCAGCCTGGGCTGTGTAGCAAGACCTTCTCTCTCTACAAAAAATTTAAAAACAAAATAAGGTGGGTGTGGTGGTGTGTGCCTGTAGTTCCAGGTACTCAGGAGGCTGAGGCAGAAAGACTGCCTGAGCCCAGGAGGTTGAGACTGGGTGATCCACGATCATACCACTGCACTCCAGCCTGGACAACTGAGTGAGAGCTCAATACACACACACACACACACACACACACACACACAAAGAATTAGAGATTCCTCCCTACACTTTTATTTGGATGTGGTCATTCATGAAGAGAGGGTCCTTGGAGTATCACGGGTAGTGGGGGCAGGAAAGGTCACCGGAGATGAAAGCAGACCGTGAAGGGTCAGTGTGTGTGGATCCTGAGGCCACAGGAAGGATGGAGACAAGACAGGGTGGAGACAAGACTAAGACTTCACTGAACCAGTCACCCCGAGGGGACAGAAAGGATGGCAAACCCAAAGTCTCCACAGAGCTTGAACAGCCTGGAGCTCAGAGAACCCAGAACCACCTCCAGGCCCAGGCCTGGAGGGTGAAACGAAAATCCAGCTCCATCCGAGGGGGCTGAGAGGAGCAGTGTCTTCAGGAGAGAGTCAGGGTTTCAAT